AACAATGATACGTCACATTAAAGCAGCAAGCCCACAGTGGAGCCTCACAGTGTTACATATGGAGCAACTGCCTTTCAAGATGCCCACAGCTCTGAAGATGAGTCAGATTCAGTTGAACCAGGGAGACACACACCCTTGTGCAGGCTCCTGTAATAAGTATTAACCCCAAAGAGCACTTGGCGTCCTTGATTTGCTGTTTTTGTTGGATGCCATCGAGTTAATTCTGACTCATAACAACTCTGTGTGACAAAACTGTACTGTTCCACAGGGTTTCCTTGACGGTCATCTTTATGGAAACAGATTGCCAAGTCTTCCTCCATTGGAGTCGCTGGATAAGTTTGAACTGACAACCTTTTGATTAGCAGCCGGATGCTTAATCATTTTGCTACCAGGGCTCCTTTGACCCTTTTTAGGGATCGTTCTTTGATCCAATGACTCTAGCTCACCAGTTTGGGTGCCAATCAATAACTCACAGCACCTATTTTTGTCATATCTACTCCTTCCGGAACTCTGATTTCCCTGGTTTTCCCCCAAATTTCCTCTCTGGTCCTCTCTCCCCAAAGAGTATTCCCAAAGAAGCTTGTAAATCAGTTTGTTAGTCACAGTTACTATGCAACTTCAAAGGAGCTCTGGTAGCGTAGTGGTTATGAATTGAGCTGCGAACCTTAAGGTCAGTGGCTCAAAACTACCAGCCACTCCGCGGGAGAAAGATGAGGCTTTCTACTCCCGTAAAGATTTACACCCTCGGAAACCCTGTACAGGGTCGCTATAGGTCAGAACTGACTCGACGGCACTTAACAACAACTGTGCAACTTCTGGGACTAGTCGATGGTCTTTGGCCCTGAGGTCAGAGAAAGGATCCTGCTGGAGTATCACGAGAATTTCTGGGTCTCTTAGTCCCCTCGAGGCTGCCTGTCCCCTCAAGGCTGCCAGTCCCCAATGCCCATTCCCTAGTCCTTTTCTATTTTTTGTTGCTTGTGCCCTGAAGCTACTTTGTGCCCAGAACTTCACAGAGTTTCACAGAAAAGCTCATTTATCTTCTGTCAGCAATTCTTGCACAAGAAAGGGCCCATCTTCACAGAAGGAGCAACAGTGAGCAGGTATAGTGCAGCTCAAACTACAGATCTAGGGGGGGAAAGGTCGCATCACTGAAAGGGTGGCAAAGTCTACATAGATGCAGTCTGCCCTCAACATTGTTGTTGTTGTTAAGTGCCTTCCAATCAGTTCTGACTCATAGTGACCCTGGGTAGGATTTCTGAGGAGTAGCTGGTGGGTTTGAACTGGAAGTTATCAGTCCAGTGCTTATCCTACAGTGTCACACCAGAATATCCTGCAACATAGACATTCTTCTTCATCCTTGCTGTTGTTAAGTGCCATCAAGTTGGGGACAGTCTATAGCGACCCTGTATAGAGTTTCTGAAGAGTGATTGGTGAGTTTGAACTACCAACCTTGCCATTCAAAACCGACTTTGCAGTTTAGCGCATTAACCCACAGAGAGAGCAATTTATATCATTTTAGCCACAGCGATAGTCAACACCTTTTCTATGGTGATGCCTGCTTTTATTTTCCTTTCCTTCCCATCTAATCTCATTCTATCCATCTGACTTCTTGTAAATCAAGGAACTGTTTTTATTTTCCTTTCCTTCTCATCTAATTTCACTCTATCCATCTGACTTCTTGTAAATCAAGGAACTGTTTGCACCAATGGAAACCCACATCACTAACTCTCACGGGACAGAGCATTCCTTCTATCTTATGCCATTTCCAAGAAGATTAAATAGATCCTCAGAGCCAATTGTGGTCTGTTTCTGTACTCTTGGTACACTGGGCTTTCCTTCCCCATAGAAGACCGATAAGAAAGAAATTTCTCCTTGAAATGAGGCAGCAGAGGGTTTTCTTCAAGTATCACTGCCTTTTACTTTGGACAACCAACTTTTAAAATGTTTTCAATAATAAGCATTTGACTCATCTTGATTCAAGTATAGTAACCACAGTCTGAAGAGAGAGTGGGTGTGATGGCCAAGATGGGCAGAACATCAAAAACAGAAAAACATAGGAAAGGAAAGAACAAGAAAAACATGTGAGGTAATAGACCAGACAGATAGAGTTGAATTCCTTCTAATTGAAGGCAGAGTGAGGAAACCTATCAGATCTCGTATACCAAACGTCCACCTTCATTAAACTGTAGAGGATGTACTATACAGGACAGTAGGACTTTAATCGACCACCCATCGGTCAGTTTCTCATACTGTGGTGACTTGTGTGTTGCTGTGATACTGGCAGCTTTGACACTGGTATTTCAAATATCAGCAAAGTCACCCAAGTGGATATGTTTCAGCAAAGTTTCCAAACTAAAGCTAGGAGAAATGGCCTGGTGATCCACTTCTGAAAATTAGACAATGAAAACCTTGTGGATCATAACAAGACATTGTCCAACTCACTTACTTTGGACACAGGATCAGGAGGGATCCATTGCTAGAGGAGGACGTCATGTTTGATGAAGTAGGAGGTCAGTGAGGGTGCAGGAGACCCTCTGTGAGGGGAATTGGCACAACTGTTGCAACAGTGGGCTTTCATATGCTGACAGCAGTGAGGAAGATGCAACAGTGGACAACAGTTTGGTCTGTCAGTTTGTAAGGTCAGTATCAGTCAGAGTTGACTCGATGACCACTAACAACAACAATAGACTTTGGTAACTTGTTTTATTATTCCAACTTTAAGTTAGCAAATGACCTATGGTATCCTGTTTGGAAACTTTTTAATTTTTATATGCTTCCATAAAAATTTTCATAGTCCAGCATGCTCTTCTGCTGAACTGCGAGGCTGGAAATTCAAGTCTACCCAAAGCACCTTAGAAGAAAGACTTGTTACTTCTTTCTGAAAAATTAATATAGAAACCCCTGTGGAGCACAGTTCTACTCTGACACACTTAGGATCACCATCAGTCTGAGTTGGCGGTAACAGGTAAGGCAATTTTTTTCAATGAGTACATGTTGTTGTTGTTATGTGCCATAGAGACTCATAGCGACCCTGTACAGGGTTTCCAAGGCTGGAAATCTTTACGGGAGCAGAAAGCCTCATCATTCTCCCATGGAACAGCTGGTACTTTCGAACTGCTGACCTTGCGACTCACAGCCCGATTCGTAACCACTATGCTACCAGAGCTCCTTCAGTGAGTGCATAATGGTGTCGAAATCTTGTGGTTATCTTTTAAAAGTTTTTTCTCTTCCTTCTTCATCACTGTCTTCTTTTTTTCTTTTTTAATACTGTGTTCTTCAGACCAGTAATAAAAGAGAAAATGTCTTGACAAAACAAGCTCTCCAAATTATATGTCACAAGGAAATGAAGTGATGATTATTTATGTTGATAACAGCTTGCCATTAATATGAAAAGGAGGCAGGGCAATTATTCTTTGATTCTGATCCTAAAACTAGAACCTTAGCAACCCCCAAAATATTGCCAAGAATATGCACATGATTGTTCTTGTAGCTTTATAGGATAGAACTAGAATGAACTCTATTTTGTAATATTTGGACTGAAACTGTACATTTTCTATAAATCATTGTTTTTTGGGGAAAAATATTCAATTTTTTATTTTTATGGGTACTTGTCATTAATATAGTTAAGAACTGGTATGATTATAAAAGATACAAAAAATCAGAATTTTAGCATTCAATAGAACTGAAAACCTGAGCTAAATGTTGATCATGTCTGACACTTGACCTTGTTCTGATGGAAGTTAGCAGATTTGCTAGACTTTTTAATTCATGTAGTACAAATAGTTAATGTAGATTTCAAAGCTGATACAATGCACTGGCACTTACAATGACTTTTGCTGTTGCTGCTTAAGATAAGTTGCATTATCAAAAGGCTTCAAAGGGGAAGACAGGGAGATATGTAAGTTGTAGATGCTTAATGAGTAAGAAGCAAGCTAATATGGTGATGGCAAAATACAGTGTAATTAGTTATTCTTAAAGTACAGTGTAATTATTCATGTAAATCTAAATGGTTGGCTCAGTTCGTCAGAGCACAAGCTAATGCCAAGTGTAAGCGCACAGGGATAGATCAACGTTATCCATCACAACGTGGAAAAGTTGCAACAGAACCGTAATGCCATCACCAGGGACAGCATTAGTAGGAACAGATGTGTGGTTTAATTTAGTTCTTGTTTTAGGTTTCTACGGTTATATTTTACTAAGAATTTAGTGAAAAGCAGAGAAATTTGACTTCTTTATTAACTGTCCTTGAACAGAAGGGATGAAACAAAAGAACCTACCATAGAAGGATGGGCCTAACTGATTAAAAATCTGTGAATGTAAATATATTTTAATATGCTGAATCTCCAATTCATATTATAAACCATCTGTTGGTGTACACTAACAAAACTTTACAAACAGCATAAAAACTCAGGTGCTGCACTCCAAAACGAATGGAATTTTCTCTTCTTTTATTTATTTACTCCTTCCACAGAATAGCCTAAATCTGAATTATCACTGGTACATGCCTGTACTGTCAAACATGAGTCATCATAACATGTTGGTTTTTATAAAAATGATTCTAGTTAAGTTCTGTGGAGTTGGTTCCAACGCATAGCATCTCATAGGGTTTCCAAGGAGCGGCTGGTGAGTTTGAACCACCGACCTTATGGTTCAAACCGACCTTGCGGTACAGTGCTGTATCTCACAGCGCCATACTAGAACTTTCAAATAAGGTCAAAGGATCTTGTATTCTCTGAAATATGTTTTCAGTTCTCTGTGCTCCAAGTCGTATTAAACACACACACACACACACACACACACACAAACAAACAAAAAATCACAGCTAGACTCTTAGTTCCTATTTGTACAACAATGTCATTAAACCCCCAGAGCTAGCAAGCATCCAGTATTTAGGTGCTCTTTTACAAAGCACATCCAGTATTTAGGTGCTCTTTTACAAAGCACCTCCGGCTCTAAGAGAGAGAGCCTTTTTAAAGAGGGCTGAAGTAAGGGCCTTTGACTTAGCGGAGTCCAGCTACTGACTTCCTTTCGGTGCCAGTTTTCCAAGATGCTACTAAGTGGGTTTTCGTCCTGATATTTTTCTTTCATGTTTTAGGAAGTTTCTCTTCTTTGTGCACTTTCATGTGCTTCCTGAGATGAGAGTTCTGGCAGATACATTTGCCACAATCAGTGCACTGTAAGGTTTCTCTCCGGTGTGGGTTCTCTGATGTTGGATAAGGGAAGAACTCTGGCTGAAACTTCGGCCACATTCATCACACTGGTAGGGTTTTTCTCCAGTATGAATTCGCTGGTGCGGAATAAGATTTGAGCTCTGTTTAAAGCTTTCTCCACACTCATCACGTTTATAGGGTATTCTCCTGTATGGATCCATCGATGCTGAATTGAGATTGGAACGCTGAAAAACACTTTCCCCATAATCATAACATTTATGGGATTTCTTTCCAGTATGGATTTTCTGATGTTGAAAAAGAGTTGAGCCCTGACTGAAACTCTTTGCACATTCTACGCATTTATAGGGTTTCTCATCCAAGCTTCTTCTCAGCCTCCTCAAGCTTGAGTCAAATCAAGCAGCCCTTCTCCATTTCTGCCCTTGCTGTGGTGTTTCCCGCTGGTTGTCATAGGCGTTTCTTTGACTTGCGGTACGAGAAACACCTCATTTCAAAATCTTCCTAATTTCATGGTGAACAGTTAAATTAAGTCTTCTGTTTTCCTCTGCACTGTTGTTTTGCTTTCTTGGGTTGCAGTTCTGATTTTTTTTTTTTTTTTAATTTATAAAGCCAATGGTGGTTCCAGAGGTAAAGTAAGAATTTCAAGTTTGTTTCCTGGCCAACGTACTTCAAGGGCAGCCACTATGTGGTTTGCAGTTTCAAAAGAAGTTCCACGCTAGGATGGACAGGAAGCGGGGCCACGCGAGCTGCAGCCGCCTCCCTGGCAGTCTCGACTCCATCTATATTGTTGTTGTTGTTAAGTGCCATCGAGTCGGTTCCGACCCATAGCGACCCTGTATAGGGTTTCCTAAGAGCACCTGGTGAGCTTGAACTGCCGACTTTGCAGTTCAAACGGTTTTGCAGTGTGGTGCATTAACCCACAGTGACACCCCACGACTCCATCTATAAATAAGCTTAATTCTTCCTTTCTGACTTTTCAGAGAAATCAAGTCATTTCACAACTCCAGGGAAAAGAAAAGGGAGTGAGTAATTATTAGGAAGGAGGTCTGTTGGCACAGTGGCTAAGCACTCAGGTGCTAACTGAAAGATTTGAGGTTCAAACCCACTAGCAGCTCTGTAGGACAAAGATATAGCAGTCTGCTTCTGTGATGATTTACCACCTTAGAAACCCTATGGAGCAGTTCTCTTCTGTTATATATGGTTGCAATGAGTTGGATTCAACTAGAGGGCAAGAGGGTTGGCTGATTTGAATTATACCGAGGAAGCGAGAAAAATAGGGAAGCCAGGTTCCCATTCCTTTTATAAGAGACCTAAAAAGCACAGTGACTACATTGTCACAACCAAACATTTGAATACATGACTTAATACATAATGAGAGAGTATGTTTGAAATCAGAATCATCAGAAAAATATGGATTATGTTGCTCAAGAATATACTGAGAGTTTTTCTTCTGTTCTGCATATGTTGAATAGGTTTTGAAGACTATCACAAGGTAATTTGTTGTTGTTACTGTTGTGTGCCTTCATGTGGTTGTATGTCATAACAATCCTATAAAAGGCACAAAATCTATGTCAGAAAAGTACTTTGAGAACTCAGCATCATTAGTCAACTGCTTAAAAATCTTCCAAAGGAGTATCCTAACTAATATTGTTAACTAGTACGGATGTCTCCTAGAATTTCTGCCGTGCAAGAGTCATTTCTAATGTCTAATTTAAATCTTTCCTATTGAAATCTAGGCCTTTTTTTATAACAAAAATTTGTTAAAAGACCCAAGGAGTCACTTGCAAAGTAATTTTTAAAAACTACATAGGCAATATAATAGAATAACAGAATATATGTAGAGAATAATACATCCCCTCCCACGTCATCCTGTCAGCTTTTTTCATTAAAAGAAAAAATTTTTTCCATGTCAACATATGTTTTAACATGATTATAATCTACTTTTTTCCTAGTTGGTATTATGAGCAGTTTCTTTTATTGCTAAAATTTTAATAATAATCATTTTTAATAACTATATAATACGGACTATACATTTCAACTGATCTCTAATCCAATCAAAGAGCTATGATTTACCCTTTAAAATGAAATAGTTTGCTTTTTAGCATCCTGTCCCATTTTATCATTTGCTTTTTCTCTCCCTTGTCTTTTTTTTTACTTTATCTCTACATAATAAAACATTCCAGTCTATATTATCAACTTCAGAAAATATAATATTGATGCAATACTTTTACCCAATTTCCATCCATGTTGCAATTTTGTCAAATACCTTAAGTTGTCTTATATAGCATTTCTCTCCTTCAGTACATGATCCCCAGAGGATCATGCATTGCAGTTAGTTACCATGTTGTTTTATCCTACTTCATAACATTCCCCCAGCTTTAAAAATTTTTTTCTTTTTTTTAATGACATTAATGTTTTTGAAGACTACAATCCTCCTCCCTACTTTAAAAAAGTAAAAAAAAAAAAAAAATGTTTCTAGTTTTAAGTTGGTCAGGGGTTCCTTTATGGATAGCTTCAGGTAGCGTGTTCCAGCCTGCAATGCGAGTACTGCCTAAGAGATGTATGACTGTCCCGGCAACACTTCTAGAGGCAGGCCATGTCTTCTCTTTGGTGATCACCTATTTAAGGTATTGTCTAATTTCTACATTGCATAGTTCTCTTTTTCTCCTTGCAATTAATAAGATAATGCAGGAAGAAACTTTAAGACATGAAAATATTCTGCTCTTTATCAAAAACTCCCCCTTAGATTTAGCATCCATTGATGCTGCTTATCTAAATCAATCTTTAGTAAATTCTCTTTAAGCGCCCATGAAGTCAGTTCTGACTCACAGCGACTCTGTATAGAATTTAAATCTTCACTGGAGAAGAAAGCCTCATCTTTCTCCCACTGAGCGGCTGGTGGGCTTCAACTGTGGACCTTGTAGCTCGAAGTCCAGTGCTTATCATGTGGATAAATAGTGCTTCCTAATCTTTAATATAAGGCTGCACATTCATGATTTTCCATCTCCGGTACCAGTTGTCACTTAGCATTCTACTATAAACAAACGTCTTCCCATCACATTTATTTCCTGATCTACTTAAGATTTCTATGAACTCTCAAATTCTGATTTTTCTAACGACTGATAATTCACTACTACCCTTAACTATTCTGGAGTTTAAATTGTCCCAAATTTGGCCAATGGGAGCCCTTTCAAACTAACTTCTGTGACATTCTTTTTGAGCACTTCCTTAATTTCAAACACAAAAAGATGTCTAAGGCTTATACCCATACTGCCCCGTCCTTGGAATCAGTCATTCCTTCAAAGAATCTGCTTCCTTTTAGTGAGGAATGGTATTACAGAATGAGACTGGACATTATGTGTGCTCACTGCTCCTTGGGTGTATTTTCTGTGGACAGAGTTAGGAAATATCTGCATGTATATGTTTATGAGAAGCCCCACAGCATAATGGTTAAGTGGAAGATATAATTGAAAGGTTAGAGGTTTGAATCCACCAGCTGCTCCAAGAGCAATCTGCTTCTGTATAGATTATAGTTTAGGAAACCCTATGGAGGAGTTCTACTCTATTATTTAATGTTGCTATTAGTCAGAATCCACTCAATGGTACACAATAATGATAGCATAAACATGCGCAAATATATATGCACAGACTCACATACATACTTTAAAAATCACAAGTTCACATCAATACTCTTAATTTAATCCATCCCATAGGGTTCATCTTGCTTTCCCCTTCATTTGTTTGTCCCCATTTCCCCATTGAAAATCCTGGCTTTCAACAGTCTCAATATATTTACTTATTTGCTCAATCCTATAATATATCGAAAGGAGCTCTGGTAGCGTAGTGGTTATGAATCGGGCTGCGAACTGCAAGGTCAGCAGTTCAAAACTACCAGCTGTTCCATGGGAGAAAGATGAGGCTTTCTGCTTCCGTAAAGATTTACAGCCTCGGAAACCCTGTACATGGTTGCTATGAGTCAAAACCGACTCCACTGCACATAACACCACCTCCACCATAATATTTCGAAGATAGGGTCTCAATGGCTTTGTTCATGCTATTACAAAAATAAAACAAAACAACTAGTCTACAAAGAAGAGTTCTGCTCCTACCTCAACCAAGACGGAGAAATATAGTCTAACATTATATTTGTAAATTACTTGGATTATTGGGCTCTCTTCCCCCTCCCCTTTATTGTAATTATGCTGTTGTTGTTGTTAAGTGCTGTTGAATCAGTTCCAACTTATAGCATAGTTGTATAGGGTTTCCAAGGAGAGGCTGGTGAGTTTGAACCATTGACCTTGCAGTTCAAACCGACTTTGCAGTCTAGTGCAAATTGATGTTGTTGTTAGGTACCATTGAGTTGGTTCTGACGCATAGTGATCCTCTGTACAACAGAGTGAAACACTGCCTGGTCCTGTGCCATCCTCTCAATTGTCATGTTTGAACCCATAAATTGCTGCCACTGTGCCAGTTCATCTTGTTGGGAGTCTTCCTCTTTTTAGCTGAAACCCAAAGATGTCCTTCTTCAGGGACTTGTCTGCCTAAAAACATGTTCAAAGTATGAGAGCTGAAGTCTCATCATTCTTGCTTCTGAGTAACATTCTGGCTGTAGTTCTTTCATGATAGATTTGTTTGTTCTTCTGACAGTTCATGGTTCTTTCAATATGCTGCACCAACACCAATTTAAATGCATAGATTTTCTCCAGTCTTCCTTATCATTGTCCAACTTTCACATGAGGATGAGGCTTTTGAAAATACCATACTTTGGCTCAGGTGCACCTTAGTCCTCAAAGTGATATCATTGTTAACACTTTAGGAGATCATTTGCAGTAGATTAGTCTATTGCAATATGTTGTTTAATGTCTTGACTGCTGCTTTCATGAATGTTAATTGTCAACCCAAGCAAAATGAATTCTTTGATAACTTCAATCTTTTCCCGCTCATCATGGTGTTATTGGCCTAGTTGTGAGAATTTCTCTTTCTTCTCATTGAGTTGTATGTAATCCATGCTGAAGGCTGTAGTCTTTGATTTTTATCAGTAAGTATTTCAAGTCTCGATCCCTTTCAGCAAGCAAGGTAATGTCATCTGCATATCTCAGGCTGTTAACGAGTCTTCCTCTACTTCTGAGGCCATGTTCTTCTTCCTATAATCCAGCTTCTCAAAGCAAAAATTATTAGCTCAGCATACAGATTGAATGGTGGTGATGGTGATGTGCCATGGAGTCAGTTCTGACTCATACCGACCCTGCATAGGGTTTCTGAGGCTGTAAATTTTTATGGGAACAAGTGTGGTTAAAGGATACAACCCTGACATACATCTTCCCTGATTTTAAACTATTCAGTATCTTCTTGTTCTATTTGAATGACTACCTCTTGATCTATATACAGGTTCCTCATGAGCACAATTAAGTGTTCTTGGCTATCCATTCTTTGAAATGCTACCCATAGTTTGTTATGATCAACACAGTCAAATAGTTAGGTTCATTTCATTGTTTTCAGTTTTCTGGCCCTTCCCCCATCTTTGTTGATTTTTATTTTTAACCAAAAACTGAGTATCCAAAATATGTACTCAGAAAAGTTTGTCTCTATTCCTTCTACTCTCATACTCCATATCCTTTGAAGAGAACCAGCCTCAGTGTTTTGTTTATTCTTCTTGTCTCTTTTTTCTTATTTTAAAGACAAATATATAGATAAATGTATATTTTCTTATTTCTCTTCCTTATACAAAAGGTAATATTTTTTTCCCTTTTTTGTTTAAGAGGTTCTCTTGGAAATTGTTCTGTATCAGTTCATAAAAACTTTGCTTTAAAAAAAACAAAAACAAAAACAAACCCCAGCAGCATAGTGCTTCGTCATGAGAGTTTCTCATAGTTTGTTGACTCCATCTCCTATACTATGCTGGGTGTCCTGGTGTTGTGCTGCAGGATAATGTGCTGGACAGCAAGGTCAGTTTGAACTGTGAAATCGGCAGTTCAAACCCACCAGTTGTTCCTCAGAAATGCTATACAGGGTTGCTATGGGTTGGAACCGATTCGACAGCACTTAACATCATACTATGCTGGAACATTTAGATCATTTCCAACATCTTGCAGTTGCAAATAATGCTGCTATGAATAATGTGCCTCAAATTTCACATACTGTTGGAGTTGTATCTTTATGGTAAATGCTCAGTAGTGGAATTGGTGGGTCAAAGCATAAATACAAACAAGTTTTGTTGGATATGGCCAAATTCTTCTCCATAGAGTTGTATCATTTTATTTATTTATTTATTTATTTATTTATTGGGGAGGGGGGATATACATCAAAGCGCTCAGGAATATATAATCATTTAAACAACCAAAGGGCACATTCTGTGAGCCTACCTCCTGCCTATCAGCACACAGTCTTTCTTTTTCCTTGAGTCGAGTCCTCAGCTGCCCTCTCTCTCCATGTCCTCACCTCTGTCTCCATCTTTGGATTTGTTGTTGTTGTTAAGTGCCATTGAGTCGGTTCCGACCCATAGCGACCCTGTACAGGGTTTCCGAGGGTGTAGGATAGGGTCCCTAATTACACTTGTGCTCTTTTCCCGCAATGGTCCTAGGGCCCTCTATTCCTGGAATGTAAGACTAACTACTCTCCCTTTCTGTTATAAAACTTCTACCTGTAATTTACAATTGTGACAATCACAATTAGTCATGATATCAACCACTATTGAATCATAAGAATCTTATCC